TCTTCATGAACAATCAGCAATGAAAAGGCCAAGTCCTATTTTTCTGCTCTGAAATCCTTATGCTGGAATGCTGCCCCACTTAGGGTACGAGGTCACTGTAAAGCCCATGCCAGTCCCCACAAGCTTGGCAGAAAGAGCTACACGTGGGCTGCTCTGCAGTGGATTTGGTCCCCACGCACCCCTGGGCTGTCTTGCTTTAAGAAGAACTGCTTGTGCAGTGTTGCATTGCTGAAGAAATACTTTTCATTATTTATGGCATGTTTTTCTCAGGGAAATATATATTCAAGCTTGAGTATAACCTTAAAAGTAGGCTGAGAGTACATCAGGGAGTAAGAATGAGTTGAGCTAATGACTTGCTCAGATTCAACCTCTGCTTTCTGCACCGTTTGTTGAGGGAATAAGTTGCTCCTAGAACACAACTCGCTATCAGAGCATTTAACCTGGACGCGTTGCCTCCTCCCTGAAGTCCACACACAAGTGTTCCGGGGTCTGCACACGGCTGTAATAGCAGGCAATTCATCAATAACCTCTCCTTCCCAGGTCCTCGAGGAGTATTTACCCAACTCTCAGGTAAATGAGGCAAGACAGAGCACGTCTTGTTCCCAGAACCAGCCCTTCTCTATCAAGCGCTAGACACATTTGCAGAAAAACAAATTAGAGCATGTTAAAACACTTCACTTAATTAAAAATAAACCTAGCAGTATCACAAAGGTAAAAGTAATTCAACGCTTTGGTTAAACACTGAAAACAAAGCTGCAGTCTGTGAGCTCACTCTGTGCATTCCAAATGCTTCATTTTTCAAGCACAATAATGGAGCAAAGAGAGAAGTGATTTGAATTGGCTTTTAAATCATAAAATATATGCTTGAAGTACCCAACAAAAATTACTGGACACAACTGGAGGTGGTAGAAGACCCATCCTTGGAGAGACTCAAGGTCAGCTGGACGGGCTAGGAGCACCTACTAGAGCTGTGGGTATCCCTGTTAACTGCAGAGAGTTGGACCAGATGACCATAAAAGGTCCCTTCCAACTCAATTCCATGATTATCAATAGTTAGAATTTTCAAGAAAATAAAAAAACAAAAGATAACTGCAGATTTCTTCCTGTTTGTCTGGTCTGCCTTTTCTCAAGCTCTAATTACAACTGGACGCGATACCTGGCTTCCTATGGGAGCATGACAACCTTGTACGAAAGGTGGAGGAACACTCAGTACCACACTGAGCTCTTCTAAATCCTCCCTGGGACCCCCCTAGTGCCCCAGAGGTGGTACATCATGTGTTCCCTCCAGCAAACAGCAACGGCTCCCACTGAAACAAGACCACAGATGGGCAGGGATCCTGCAGTTCTCCACGGAGCGGTCTGAGAAATGGATCTGTCAGACGTGCTGTGAAAAAAAATGGAGGAAAAAAAAAAAAAAAAGGAATGCAAAGGAAATTTTTCTTCCTTCATTCAAAATAAAGTGTGGCCAAATAAGTAATCACCATAACCTTTTTTTTTTTTTTTTTTTTTTTTTTTAAAATGCTTTCTTCCTTCAATCTCATTCCCAAAGAGAAAGTTACGCACACCTTCACTTCTCCAGCACTGTGCTTTAGTTGACTTCCTTACGAAAATACATTAAAAGTTATTAAGAAGAACAAAAAAGCAACAAAAACACAGATTACTCATTTCTTGGCATTCGGTGGTAGGAATGCTCTGGGGAGATAGAAGCATAACTCCAGTTTTCACACTAATATGCCTGCTTTAAGGTGGTAAAGTCCATTGCTCTGGACAGCTTTTATTCACTTCATTTTACCGCTACCACTTGATGGCAAAATGCATTTTTCCTGAAGATTTATGGACTCGCATCTCCAAACCCAACTGCATTTTCACCACCAAGCACAATGGAAGCAGGCTCCAGGTGCTAAACGTATCTATGTCCAGTTATTCCAAGAACACAAATGAATGCTGAAGCATCCATCTGGCATAACAGATTGGTTGGTGCACTTTGTCCCCCGCTAATTAATTGGTTAGTTCTACTGGGTAATGAGAGATTTCCCCCAGTTCTGTGGTCTGGGAGGACGGGTGGGCTAACCCAGGCCTATCAGCAGGACTCGAGCTGCCTTTGGGGCTCACAGGCATTTTTTGAAGGGCTTTCATACAGATAATCCTAAAAAAGTAAAAATATATAGAATTCTATACATATAAGAGCATTTACTGCATTCATTTTTGGGCCCCTCACTCCAAGAGAGATGTTGAAGGCACTGAAGTATGTGCAAAGCAGGGCAACAAAGCCATGAAGGGTCTGGAGCCCACGTCTGATGGGGAATGGCTGAGGGAATGGGACGGGTCAGTCTGCAGAACAGGAGGCTCAGGGGGGACCTTATCACAGCTACCTGACAGGAGGTGGTGGCAAAGCAAGGGTCAGCCTCAGCTCCCAAGTAACAGCGATAGGATGAGAGGTGATGACCTCAAGTTGCACCAGGTGAGGTGTCAGGCTGGATGTTAGGAAACATTTCCTCTCCAAAAGAGCATTGCTGCAATGGCTGTAAGAAAGCAGCTGGAAGCAGACTTCCCTGGCTCTGAAAATACAGAAAACTTGGGGGATTTGTTTGAACCACCTACGTATTCAATACACTCCAGGAAGCATTTTGTTAGGAAACTTGTAAAACTTTGCAAAAACAAACGGAAGTTGGGCTCTGTTTAAGCTCGATCACCAGTTTATTTCCCACAGTTTTGTCAGGTTTAACTCCTGCAAGCTGCTTATCTACAGCTTTCACAATCACAGACCTGTGCTGCTGAAGGAGCAGACCCAGGCCTGCTGGATGCACGCACCTGCTGCACCCACAGCACTGCCCTCCAAAGAAGTGCTTGTGTCAGGAGCTGAGGGCTTAATTTACCAGAGACATTCACAATGGAGAAATACTACAGGTTTATATGCTCTCTAAACTCCTTTTTGTAGCTCAGTTCAGCATGTGAAAAGGCAGGGATGGTTTCTTGCTTCTGTTCTGTTGTGTATGCTAACAAGTGCAAACTCAGAGTGGGCTTAAGGATTCCTCACCATCTACATCATAAAAATATTCTGTATACACTGAATGTGACAGCCTGGAAAACTGCTTTCCCAATGGCATTCACATCCTTGACAAAACCGTGTGCTCAGAGAGGCCTCAGTGATGTGAGATGGTCCTAAAGTTGGGTCCCTGTTTCCTACTGAAAAGCTCCTTCTCACACTTGAGGGCAGCACAGACGAAAATACACAAAGTGCAAGTCTCTGGAAAACAGATACCTCGCAAGCCAGTGAAACACTCATCAAAATAGAAAGCTGATTCAACACTGTAACAATGCAGTAAACAGCCCAGTTCATCGCTACAGGGCCACTGCTTCTTTGTGCAGGGTTTGACTGCTGAGAGGGCACGTAAAAAACAATCTATTTTGGTAAAAGAGAGATGCTCTCTGAACCCGTGCACAACTTTAAAAATACCTGGTGTCAAAAAACAGGGACTTTCAGTGCCTGGCATCACAAAGCTGCCTCAGACTGCCCAGTGAAGGATGTGGGGAAGAGGAAGTGTTTGGGATATATGCTCACAAACAACATAAGAATTCAAACGCATTTTAAATCTCCCCTACAGGATGTGGAATCGCGGCAGGGCGCCATTCTGATAGCAGAACCATGCTTCAGTTGGGCATCTCCCTGGGAAGGAGTGGGCCCCCTACTCACACCAAATGGAGGTCTGGCTTCCCTCCTCAGTACCACCCTGACATTTCCACCCTGCTCATCATTTCTTTCCACATCCCCTGGCAAACACCAAACAAACCCAGGCTTCATCACGCTGTAACACAGCAGCCCTCAGCCCGCAGGAGGAAGGCACGGTTACATGGGCAACAGATCATCCATTCCCTAGCAAAGGGAGAGGGCTGTCCATGTGCTGAGGCAGGACCAGCCTCCTGTGACTGCAGCATGAAGCCTGCTGGAAGATGGAAACGTGAAGATGAAGGACAGGAAGAAGAAAGTTTATCTGCTTGGGAGCCCACAGGAGGGATTTCATGGAAGTTACAGAGCTGGGAGCACTTAGGAGCTCTCACGATCCAAAGGTGTGCAACCACATATCATCTGAGCACAAGTACTACAATTGGATTAATTACCTTTTAACTGCACAGGCTCAAAACTTGCAATAGCGGTTATTTCAAAGGCAAAAATGTCTGGAACCACTCTTCCAGGAAGAGCTGCCAATAGATGCCCTTGGCTAAACATGTTGATGAAGTACCAAGAAGCCACATCCCTACAGTTTCCCATGCAGGAAATTCCAGACTTAGTCAAAACTTGGCTTCAGACAAGAAATAAAAGCTCTTCAAGTTCAGATGTCAAATAAGTCTTCTGAGCAGGATCGTTTATACAGTCCTAAGTATTTAGTTTAAACCTCTATCACAAGAGCCACATATTTATTATTCCTATCTCAAAGGTAATTTATCAGTCCTCCCCCTCCTCCAAAGCCTCCCAAAACAGTTTTCTCTTTACATATTCACACCCAGAGCTTACTCCAAGGTCTTTTGGGTAGTAGGGAAGAGGACACAGCTGGAGATGAGAGAGAATTACCATCTGCAAAAGCGGTGGATCACATTCAAGTGAACGATCTCCACAAATCTGGAGAGGGAACTGCGGTGGAAATGCAGCTGTGGAACACACCACTCACCTCTCCCAGCTCCTGCACGACACCATGCCATCCTTCATTGCAAAGTGGTTAAGAAAGCAAGCATCATTCCTTCAAATCTCTACCCAGAATAACATGATTGTGCAAGACCAACCAGAAGAAATAAATAGTTTCAGGCTTGTTTGCAGATAAATCTAAACTGAAAGTCTGGCTACTAATCAGAGGAAAAAACAAACAAACAAAACATACTGAATATATTTAAATAAAACTCAACTTTTAAAGCAGTTTCCTATTTGCTGGGGCACAACCTACTGTTTTTTTGGGGGATATGTGGGGATGTTGTTTCTGAAAACGACATGCCCAACCCACACCTACCTCACACAGGTGTTCTGTGGCTTAACCACTCTTAATGAAATGCTGCTGGTCCTCTGACAGCTATTCCTATTCAGAGTTGGTGGTAATGCTGCTCCTAAAATATTTGGCTGGCTATGGGAGGTCCCCAGGCAGCATCTTCTCTGAATCTACATGGCCACTGCACAGCACTTCCTTGCACACCCCGGCTAGAAGCAACTGAGCAGAAGGCAGCAGAGCCCAGCAGGCAGTCTGCACATCTTCAGTGCTCACATTCCATGCAGCAATAATCAAAAAAAGATCATTTCCCGTAGCAACCTGGAGAAGCCACTCCAACAAGCCCACTGCATCGCATTCTTTCCATTTGGCCTCTGGCAAGTCTCTGCCTGTTTGAACAGACGCCATCAGCACTTGTCCACGTCCTGCTGTGCTGTTTTTTTTCCTACTTATTCTACCCTTCTTCAGCTTAAAAGAATAAACCAGCTTTTACAGCCTGAACTTCATGGCAAAAGATGGCCCAACTTTAAACCATTTACCAACCAGATCGCAGCGTACAAGTCTACATTTAAATGCTGCCTCCAACAACTGACATACTGCAAATACAGTGGTGAAGTCCATGTCAGTTGGTAGAACTGTGCTGAGAGGCAATGCTGGACAAAGAGGCCCTTCATTGCTAAGGAGTGTACAGACTTTTCCTTCAGAAGCACAACCTCAACCCCAAGCTTTGGCTGGGAGTCATACGAGAAGCCCAACAGAGACTCACAACAGAGTCCATCCATTTGGGTAAGATCTGTGCCTATCTTCAGCTGAAGATATTGTTACACACTTACCGTGCTTAAAAAAAAAAAGAACACGAACAACCAACTTCCTTACAGAATCACCCAATAGCTCAGGTTGGAAAGGACCTTAAAGATCATCAGGTCCAACCACAGCCTTATCTTTTCATTCTCAAAGGTATATGACTGTTTGGGATTTGACTCAGAGAAAATCCAATGATGCCAATCTGATTGTTTTGCTGTCACTGACCCCATCATATGAGTTGTTTTTAACTCCAGATTATAAAAATAGATCACACGAAGCTCATGGTATGTATTTTAGGCATCTGAACTAGAGGGAAGAAAAAAGTAAACCTGATACATGTGTAACTAAAGAGGCTCAGACTGGAATCAGTAAGAATAATCCAATTCTCAATAAAAAACAATAATAAGATTTTAAAATGAAAGTTACTGTTTTGACTGTGTATGTATAGTAGATCTGAGTGAAAACACTTGAAGCCATCTATCCTACATTTTTACTCTAGATTCCAATGAAAATGTCCACAGGAAAGAGCAGGTTGTGCAAACTCCTTTGCTACAAAGCTTTCACCTCTGATTTCATTATTTCCTAACGCATCTTTCATGCATCCCACTGAAAAAGTCTTGAGGAGCATCAGTATTCAAAGAATTGCAATCCCTCTGTACCAATTGCTGAAGATGGCTCAGGCAGACGTGGACAAAACATTATCCTCAATGACACCCTACAGAACTTAGCTGCTTTCAAAAGCAGCCCTCTGCTTTTATCACTTTGGAATCCCACAGGACTGTCTCCAGAAGTACCGCCCAGCTTTTCTTCTGCCAAAAGGAGGGTTCACTCTTTGAAAAAGTTAATGAGTAAAGGTTGGAAGCAAACGAACCTTGCAATTACACCACCACACACAGGGTTATGGCCGGCCAGAGGAGGGAACTGGGGAACAGCTCCCCGCTCCCAACTTGCATTCCCCATTTATCAAGTTACTTAATCACATACCTAGGCAATAAATTTTAACTGAGTGACTCATGTGCTTGAAGGGAGGCATGCCTGCAGGCCTCCTGATGAACCCGGGATACTGGGAGTTTTGCACGTTGACCTTGCAAAAAAACAACCCAATATAAAACAAGGTAGTGTCGTTGGTGGTTTTTTGTTGCTTTTTTCAATTGTTATTGTTAAAAAAATAAGCACACCCTCCTGTTGATGCCACTGCTTTCACAGAAACATCACCCCAAATATCTCATATTGTGGAATGCCCGCATTCCCTAAAAACTGATCCACCAAAAGGCTATTTTCTAAGCCGTGCCTTCAGTCAGCCCACGAAGATAACTGGCTGGACCATTAGCAGAAGTCTTAGATAAAAACTGAACAACAGCTACTTTGATCAGAGGCGAAATGATTCCTGCAGTCTTGCATTACATGAGTGACACCAAGAGTTGATGCACCCATGGCTCTATTAAGCCAGCAGTTGATGAGGACCATTAAAGCAATGACCTCTTCCTTGCCAAGCTGCCCAGACAGCAGGTTGCCCACCCTTAATGTCTGCATGTCTGTACAACACTGCCACAGATTCCCACTAAAACAACTTCCTAATGCTCCCAAGTTTCCTGCTGTAGTTTTTTTTCCCCTTCTCTTCTCAAATTAAGGTAAGAGAAAACATGAGAAAATAGGACATGGAGTAAGCATACAGCTTAATTACCTACAAGGCGATGGATAATCAAAGCAAGTCAGGGTTGAAAACAAGACAAATACGTTCTGACTTTTATATAAACATCAAATATCCATAGTTTATCCCTAATTACTAAAAGTACTCACCGCAGGCTGAATGTAACTGCATAATTAGATCTAGTGAGTACAAACACGAACAGAAATCTGTGTCCACACAAAGCTATGCAATAGGAGCTCAGCTCCTCATGTTTTATTGTCATGTGTGAAAAATGTATGAAAAATAAATTCAAATCTACCAAAGAATTCCATGCACCTAAAAAAAAAAAAAAAAAACAGCACCAAAACAACACAACAACCCTTTGTCATTCCCTTTTGTAAAAGATTAAGTCCCATGTTTTCATACTGAGAGGATGCAAGAAGGAAGTAATTAGCCTTCATATCAAGCTTGAAAACAAGGCCCTAAATCATATGATACTCTAATGTCAGCAAAAGGAAACGAAAAAGTGGCTGAAAACACAGTACAAATCATGGGAAAAAAAAAATTATCAGAGTGCAAAGGAGCCTCCCTGTCCTCAGGCAAGCTCTGGTCAAAATTCTACAAGTATTATCTACACAACAGCTTAGTCAATGCTGGGCTACACCCGAGTGCATCTTGAGGTGCACCCAGAGAGCAGGGCAAAGGTTTTGTCCTGGTTCTTCTTCTGATACCCACTGTGTTGGGGAAGAACTTTCGTGCTCTTCTGAGGTGAAAAGCACTTGGGGTTGTCACCTCTCTGCAAGGGAACAGATGAGGGAACTGGAGGCTCACATCTACCCCTGAACCCCTCAACACAAGGAAGCCAGCCAATGTACTCTTAGTCATCTAAAAGCCATCTTCCAGCTGCTGGCTGTGGCTGCCATGTCCCCTTTGCACCCTTGGCCCCATGACTGGCTTGCTGGAAAGGTCAGGACAATTTTCCAGAGTGAAGGAGGACAGGAGGATGCCTCCCAGTCTGAGAGGCACAGGAGGGAATAGTTCTGCCTCTGACCTTACCCACATAACTTGCATTAAAGCCCTATTAGTCAAATACATGTAAGCAATGGGATGGTGCTTACAGGGATGGGACAGACCCATCACTCCACAGGCGAGAGCATGAAGCATTGCTACACTGACAAACACTGCCTAAAAAAATGGAGAAAAATATCCACTGCCAAGCTCTGGGGGGTTCAGAACTACATTTAGAAGAAGGGGTGGGAAATTAATTGGAGGCCAATAAAAGCAGAGTTCACTGCAGATAATGATTTCCAGCTCTCTGGATTTATTGACAGCCATAGAACTGCCTGGTTTCTAGCTGAGCCAGAAGCACACAGAGGGAAAGCAGCAGCACTTATCCCGGCACACAAAGCAACTGAGCCAGGTCCACACTGCGCTGACCTCGCCATCTGGACATGTGGCAAGCCCAGAACAGAGACATTTCCAGCGTTATCCTCTATAATCACGTAAAACTATTCTGATGAAAGAGGCCAAAAATCCCATGCTCCAAAGGCCCGGCTGATAACTGCCATCAATCAGTCCCGTTCGCGGACGCCAGGCCTCACACGGTGATGCCCACATTATCACTGCACAAACATTAACAGATTATCACACTTCCTGCACGAGGATGATTTTCATTCCCCCAGTCCTACTAAATGAGAGAAAAACAGCAGGTAAGAAGCCGATCTCATATCCCCAGTGAATAACCGAAAGGGCTTCACTGGGGCTGCGATGTGGTCAGGATTAGGTCTGAATGATGTTCAAGAGGCTCTGCAGTGAATCGGTTAGCAAGCTAAGAATAAACATCAGGATCCTACATTGCAATTCTGTACCTGAGGCACCAACACCACCAAAGGGCTCTGTCCTGCCACGCTCAGTGTGAGACCACTGCCTCTGCCTGCACTGAGCACTGGGGCACAGAACTGGGCTGTCATGGAGCACGAGTTCGCTTTGCTCAGGGATCTTCCAGCAGCTACACTGCAATGGGCCCATGCTAGAAACTACAGAACAGCAGCAAGCTCCTGCTTTGGTATTAGACCTAGCATTATCAGCCTGTGTCTCCGTGCCAGGAATTCGCTCTCTGCAGCCTCAAGAGAAAGAAGAACAACAAAAAAGATCAGGGGAAGAGCAGAGCGGGAGAGAGGGAGAGGAAGAAGATGAAAGGCTCTGTAATTACAGTTTGACCTCCTGCAAAACACAGGCTGAAGAACCTGATTTAGTCATTGCTGTATCAAACCCAAAGTTTTTCTGCGCCTTCAGCCTGCTTGCTGCATCACCATCTGCATGCAACAGCTTCCAGCCTGCACACAGGGACAGGCTCTGCCCCAAGGAGCCTGCTCAGCTGCAGCAGCCAAACCCCACTGCTCTGACAGCAAAGGCTTTGGCCAGCTGAGCACAAGTGGCACTTCTTCAAAACAACAGAGTTTTGGCAGAACCAAACCCATCCAAGGCACGAGATGCATTAACATTAAGGATTCAAAAGGAGATCCCTCCGACTACAAAAACATATACAACCCCTCCCACACGCCCTGACATAACAAGACTTTACAGGGCTAGTGGGAGCAAGCACAACAGTTACGATATGTTGAAACAAGCAGTGTCACTCATCCCCTGCCTCAGACGA